GGCACCTTCCAGGTCAACGGGGAGCTCACCAAGGTGGTGTTCAGCCGCCTCAACCTCATAGACCTCGCGGGTAGGCGGGGTTGTTGTTGATCAATGGGACAGGCCCACACCCGGGGTGACAGCGGTTGCAAATGCTACAAATTGATCCAGCCTGGGTGACTGAACCAGCGGCATCGGCTCACGTGGGTCAGAGGGATGACGTTGCTGCAAGCCTCACGACACCATGATACACGCGCGTGTGCTGCGCATCCACAGGCAGCGAGCGCATCCGCAGTGGTGCGCATGGCGGCAGTGGCGCCCAGGGGGAGCATTTCAAGGAGGCCTGCCACATCAACAAGAGCCTCACCACGCTGGGCAGGTGCGGCACCCAGCATGCTGTGCCGCAGCTCTGCCCGACTAGGGTTCAGGATTTTTCTCTTTCCGCTGGCGCATGTTTTTTGCGGCTTCCCTTGATTGTAATGCACGTGCGATGCGCAGCCTTGCATGATCAGACATACCCACCTGGGATGAGACACCGGTACTCGCACGCACCCATACCGTCTGCACCCCTTCCATGCATTCAGGGTGATCAACGAGCTGGTGCGCAGCCAGCAGTCTGAGAGGAAGAAGGGCGTCCCGCACGTCCACGGTGGGCCCACAGACCAGGGAGGGTGAATTATGAAAGCCTCGGGCCCTCATGTATCTAGGTGACTGTTGTTGCGCTGGCGCTGGGGAAACCTGTATGTGGCTCAAGCCCAAACCCTCGCTCCATGCTCGCCTACCCCGCCAGCATGCCTGTTGTCACATTGTCCCCTCTTTGTGACCTCCCTTCCTCCCTCCCCGACCCTCTACGCGAACCCACCCCATCCTTTCTGATTGCACAGTGCCCTACCGGGACAGCCGGCTCACCTTCCTGCTCCAGGTACGGGGCGCCACAGAACACACCCCCTTGTGCTTCGCGACGCCGTCGCTCGCTGCCCATGTTCATCTGGCCTGCGTTTAGGGGGTCCACCGATGCCATTTATGCTGTCGCTCACGATGGCAAGCGTCTGCCTCCATGAGGGATCTCTTGCGCAGACTTTGTTGGCCGATCAACGCAACCCGCCTCATCCCTGACCCCACCCCCAGGACTCCCTGGGCGGCAACGCCAAGACCATGATCGTCGCCAACGTGTCCCCCAGCAGCGTGTGCGCGCAGGTGCGGCCCCGCCGTGGGCAGCTGGTGCGGGAACGCCATGCATGCGCCCGCAACCCACCTTTCTCGCTGGGCTGGAGTGCTCGATTGTGCGAAACAACAGGCAGCTCATTGTCGACCGAGGTCACCTTCCCACAGTTCCAATGTTCACATACGCATTTCATCATCATTGCCTTCATAACCCCAGGAGACGCTGTCGACGCTCTACTTTGCGCGCCGCGCCAAGCACATACGCAACCGCGCCTTTGTCAACGTGGACGTCCGCGGCGACGCGGCGCTGCTGCAGCGGGAGATCCAGAGGTGCGGCGGCGAGGGGAGAGGGAAAGGGGCGGCATGGAGACGAACTCGCTTGCGCGCAGCACCACAGCAAACGCTTCCCTCCTTCAGCTGTGCTTTGTTATAAAACGTCTTTTGAGGGGGCCTAGATAGCACACATCGTGTTTCTGGCAGCCTTGAATACAAATCTGTGTGTGGCTGTTGCCACTGCTTCGCTCAAACTCAGGACCTCATCAGCTCTGTCCCTCGCCCTCAGCCACCACTACAACACGCCAACACTCCAACCTAACAACAGCTACCCCCCCACCTCATCTACACACACACACACACCCACACACACATACACCAACACTTACACAGGCTGAACACCGAGCTGGACAACCTGCGCAAGGGCGCAACAGAGGCGGTGGTGCAGGAGGCCAAGAAGCTGCGGCAGCAGCTCGCCAGGTGCGCCGGCGCACCTGGTTGCTGGGGCGCAACGGGGAACTTGCTTCTGCACGCAGGAAAGCGGCCCTTCACGCACGCCAGATGTTTGCACTGCCAGAGACTGCATAACAGCCACACAAGGATGCCCCAAACTTCACACTATCTACACTTTATAAGTAAGCACGTCGCCGCAACGCGACCGCCGGCCCGCCCGCCCCCTCGCCCTCGCCCCCAGCGAGGCCGCCGCGCGTGAGGAGCTTGAGTCGCGCCTGGAGGTGGCGTCCAACGACAACGCGCAGCTGCGGCGCGAGCGCAAGCGCCTGGACGAGAAGCTGGCGCACGTTCACGGGTGTGTGTGAGTGTGGGGAGGGGCTCTCCTGTGTATGTGTGGGTTTTTGTGGGTGCTAGGTGGGTGGGTGGGTGTGCCTGTGTCCGTGGCTGGAAGGGCGTAGCTGGCGGTGGTTGAACCTGCTTGACTGAGCAGGGGCAGGAACAGGCAGCGCCTGCTGCAGCAGGGGTTGTGCACGCCCCTGCGTCATCGTGAGTGTGCAACAACCCGGGCGTTGTGCCTGTTCTGATCTGACAGCAGCAGTGGGGGCTAGTCAGGCCGTTATCACACCCCAATTCCATCGCGCGTGTCTGTGGAGCCTCCTCCTGCGAGCCTCAAGAGCGGCCTGGAGGTAAGCGCTTCACGCCCAACAACCGCGCCTACACCCGCCCCTTCAAATCACAGCATGGCGGGGGAGCTGTCCGGGCTGATGATGCGGCTGTCCATGCGCGTGGCGCGCTACGAGGCTGCAGAGGACGAGGCGCGCGCGGCGCGGATTCGGGTGCGTCAAGGCGTGAGAGAGCACATACATACATACATACATACATACACACGCACGCACGCACACACTGCCCTGCTGCACGGGACTCCGCTGCGTCGTCGTACTCGTAGTGTGGGTTCCGCCATCACAACATTGCTTGGACCGACAAAGTCGCGGTTCGTAGCAGTTTGCATTCCCTGCACCGTCCCATCAGCAAGACCACACCGCGCCGCGTCGTCCCCGGGCTCTGGCGCCCTGCAGGCCGCCGAGGCGGAGCTCAGTTTGGAGGCAGCGCAGGCGGCCAATCTGCAGAGCCGTGCCCAAGAGGAAATCGCAGGGGCCGCAGCGCTGTCAGGTGGGGGCTTGGCGTCTCAGGGGCGCCTTCAGGGGGCGGGACAGGGTGCGGCTGCAGCGGCCTGCAGGCTGCGCTTTGGACTGCAGGCGTCAAAAAGGCGGATGGATGAAGGAAGCATGTGCCTGCAAGACTAAGCATCCCTAGCTGGCGGTGCTTCAAATCCCCTGCAGACCAAATGGCGGCCGCCAAGGCGGAGCTCGCCGCGGCGTTCACCCGCGCCCGCGGCAGCGAAGACGCCGCCGCGGCGGCCGAGGCTGCGGCAGCAGCGCTGCGCGAGCAGATCTCCGCGGCGCGCGAGGCGGCGCGGGGCGCAGAGGAGCGCGCGAGGCGGGCGGAGGCGCGGGCAGAGGAGGCCGAGGAGGCCCTGGCGCAGGTGAGGGGGCGGGGCAGGGC